AGTTAAAGGCTCCTCTGAATCATTGCCAGGTATCATGCAGTCACCCTGGGAAGATCCCAATTCCACTTCTTGTGGGTAGATCCTCTCTGAAATGTCTGAGGATTGACCTCTCAATTCTCCCTCAAATGCACCAGGCTTTGACATAGATTTTCTGTCAGCTGTAGCTTTTGCAGACTTAAAAATGAGAAAACAAGTTGAAATATGAAAAATGCAAAAAGGTTACAGCAGATTACAGAACAATACAAAGACTTAACTAAGAATATTGTACTTCCCTTTACATTTTTGCACAGCAAAGCTAAGCCCTGCATTATTACCTTATTTAATTTTCATTGTAATCCTCATGTTCTAAGTAAGGGCTTATTTTGAACTCCATCAGATTGATCAATCCCATAATATGAAACCTTATAAGACATAAAACATGCATACTTCTAATTAAAGAATTTCTTTGGCATCTGTAACTACTTACTTTAAATTTATTCTTTAATACTTCTGACTGAGGTAACAAACTCTGGTTTCTGAGATGAACTAATGAGTTCTCATTTTATTCCCCAACTAAATGATAATTAATGAAAAATAAAACCAGCAATCACACACCTGTTCCTGCTTGCTTTGTGTGGCCAGCAGATAAAGTTCATCATGAGGATCCTCAGGGTCACCTTGTGACCTGTGCTGCAAAATTGTCATTTTTTGTCCAACAATTCCAAAAGTTGCTGGATAAAACAGAGCCATGGGTGCCTGAAGAGAGAATTGGTATGGTTTTACTACAGTACTCCTTCTTTTGGCATTTACTACAGCTAAAAGAAAAGTCTTGTTTTATTTTTCTCACAATTCAAAATTAAATAGCAGTGTTTTATTTATTTTTAGTTTTATCTACAAGCATAAATCACATGGGCTTAATAGATACAAATTGAGGCTCTGAGGCTGAATGATCAATATATTTGTAATTTAATCAAAAATCACCTGTAATTTTTCATCCCCTAATCGGAACTGGTACAATAAAGCTGGAGAGTCTGGATGCCGAATTTGGAACTCATGATCTTGTAATCCAGAAATGTCCTAAGGTCAGAAACAATGGAAACAAAAGAAAACAAGTATATTTTATATTTATCAAGCTGCATAATCTATTTAACTACAGAAAACAACAAAAAGTAACAAAATTATTTTCCAATTAATGATTTTATTTACCTATTCTTGAGTTTTTTAAAGTCTTTTCTACGTATTAAGATGTGCCAGACAGCTTTCTACATGCCCAAGCCTCTACAATGAGTGTTTTGCAGAAAGAAGAGACCTGCTGGCAGATCTTACAGAACTGAAATTGAAAACCAACAAGAATGCAAATATCAGCTTCTTTCAGCAAAAAGAACAAAGAAATTATCTTTCTATGGTTTGCAAATCCTTTTAGCTAGAGGAAGAATAAACCAAATTACAAACATTTCAAGTCTAAAGCTTCTACAGCTTTTGCCAGTATACTCCTGAGTAAAATATTTACAATTAACTTGGACTCACACAAAAGGGCTC